ACATTGAAATATATTTGTCATAACTGTAAAATAAAAATATTCAAAAATTACAAAGATGGTCTTGATTTGGTCTTGATGGGGTCTCAGTCTCAACCTTTAAAAGTCTCAGTCTTGTCTCGGTCTTGACCCTCAGAGGTCTTGGTCTTGTCTTGGTCTCGAGATCGGCCTCAAGACTGTTTTTTTGTTTTTTTTTGCAATCTTAGTCTCGCCTCGGACTTGACTGTTTTTGGACTCAGTCTTGTCTCGGTGTTGAAGATACTTGGACTCAGTCTTGTCTCAATGAGGGATAAATTAGAGACAGATTTATAAAAAAAAAACATTGATATATATGTACCATAACTGTAAAATAAATGTTGAAAATCTTGTCTCGGTCTTGACCTTTAAAAGTCTCAGTCTTGTCTCGGTCTCAACCCTCAGAGGTCTTGGTCTTGTCCTGGTCTTGGGACCCTGTGGTCTCGGACTGGTCTTGGTCTTGATTAGTGCGGTCTCGACTTCAACACTAGAGAAAAGACTCCATGCAGACTTTTAGCCAATCACATCGGCCAATTGACGTCCAACAATTTCATTTTTGGTTAAATTCATGTTTAGCATTTTACCTACCATTTCTAATACTTGGTACCTTGTTGGCAAGTTTTAATAAAAATCTTTTTCAGAAAATATCCGCTTTCTGCTCCACACCTAAAAATGTGTGGAGGGCTCAGCTGGGAGCCGAACAAGATGGATTCTTTTGAGCTTGAAAACTCAAACAGCTTACAGCGCAGGGTTATTGAGTGATTGTCTGCAGCCAGTAGTTTAAGTCCCCTAAAGAATGACTATGATGAAAATGGGCTACAGTTACACCTCCCCCGAGGCCGAATCAGGTTTGTTTCAGCTGGAGATATGATCCAGGGAGACGTTCAAAGACTTGTAATGAGTAATCACTGAGTCTGTGGAGGCACAAAGCTCCTCCACACTCTCCATCACAGACATTGGCTCCAGCACAAGAATCTGAAGAACATCTGATTAGTCTAAACATCAGGCTCAGAGCAGACGCAGCAGTGTTTGAAAATACACAAACGTTTATGTTTAAAGCTCATCACATCATGTTGTGAGTGAAGAAAGTGAAGTAAATTTTGACCCATTTACCACACACAACAATCTATAGCTGATGATAAGTTTGACTTAACCGAGCAGACATGGGCATTGTCCAGCTCCCGGGGCACATGCAGCCCTTTGGTCAACTCTGACAAGCCCGTTTAAGCTCATTTGAAATTGCAAAATAAACATACTATATTTTTCGGACTATAAGGCTACGTTCAGACAGCAGGGATTAATGCTCAATTCCGATTTTTTTGTGAAATCCGATGTTTTTGCGAGGTCGTTCACATTTCCTATTAAATGCGACTTGTAGTAAACGGCCCAAAAGTGTCCCACATGTGACACTGGAGACACGACGACGTCAACCGCAGCGAGCGTCTCTGTGTTTACAGAAGTTGTCCAAACATGGACGCAGCATCGAGCACCTGGAGATTTTAAAGTTCCTCTCGTACCGGAGCCAGAACATGAACAACTTACTTGTTTTAAGGAGGAGATTGAGAAGGAGAAGGACGAGGTTTTTGGTCGTGGTGTTTTGTGGGACAGCGGCAGCGACGTCTGTTGAAAGGAACGTGTGGATGTGGAGACGGAGCCAAGAGTGGTGAGTGGAGATGTGCTTCACTTCAGTGACACAGAGTTCATTAACAATTTTCGCCTACTTCAGCGCAGAATAGTGACGTTTGTGTCTTGTGATAACGTGTAGGTGGATGAATGCACTTTGGCCGTTCACACTGAAGTCACATGTCAAAAGATCAGATATGTATCAGTTTCAGGAGCACATATCCAAGTGTCCTGGGTCACATTTGAAAAAATCGGATCTGTGTCGTTCAGACTGACATTAAAAGATCAGATACAGGAACATAGAGGCCAAAAAATCGGATTTGGGTCACTTCAGGCTGCAGTCTGAACACAGCCTAAGTCACTCTTTTTTTTCATGGTTTGGGTGGTCCTGTGACTTGTACTCCAGTGCGACTTATATAAATTTTAACACTGACAGCAACTAGAGAGCGCTCTAGGCTTGTGTTTCAGTATCTGATACTTCTATTACTGTCACTTGGCTCTACTGCGCATGTCTCCTGCAGAAAGAGCCTCTGTCTCATTGCAAGTCATGAAATATTCAGCTGAAAACAGTAATCGAGCAGCAGAAAGAAAGTTTGGAGTGATATGATATTAGGTTTTTTTTTCAGACCCAGAGTGTTATTTCATACCTGTCAGTTTCGACTGCTCAGTAGCGTCTTCCTCAGAGTCACGTGATGTTGCTTTGACGTGTCTGGTCAGCTGATTTAAACAGCTGACCAGACACGGATACGGAAACGTGCCCACAGGACTGTAAACTGGGACGAGGGGGCTTTTTTACTCTCACAGACCTGGGATACTGTCCTGAGGAAGTGGGACTGCAGGTGGCGCTGTCGTCCTGCCTCCACCGGTAGGAAGACAGAGACAAAACCTGTTTAAATCAGCTGACCAGACACGTCACAGCAACATGACCACTGTGATAAAGACGCTAGTGAGCAGTCGAAACTGTCAGGTATGAAATAACACTTTGGGTCTGAAAAAAATAACCTAATAATATAGAATATCGGAAGACCAAATGAATCTCATTGGACTAAGTTTGGAGTGACACCAGGAGGGTGCACTATTCAACTTTCCTGGAAGTCACTGGATGGATCAACAAAGTCTGGACTTCAGTGACAAATGAAACCATCCTGTCAGGCCGGAATAATTCTAACTGGAACTGAAGAGGAAGCGGCGCTCTGTTTACCTCCGGAGGTCGAGGCCAAGTTGTTCAGAAGTGACACCGAGGATGAAGAACTGAATGGATTTAGTGATTTGGAGTGAGATGGAGAGTTTGTTAAACTTGTTCTGTTCTGTTGTTTATGTTATAGTTTATCTGAAGAACTGTTCATATGTGACGTTAACAGTCTGTTGTTCTCTGTTCTATTGTTTTTACTACAACTTGCCTTTCAAGATGAAATGTCAGTTCCTGGTCTCTGATTTTATAAAATAAATTTCCTCCGAAAACTGCAACTTATATATGATTTTTCTTCTTCTTTACACAATTTTGGCTGGTGCAACTTACAGTCTGAAAAATACGTTATTTTATCATTTTATCTTTAGCATAGACTAAAGCTGCATTGCTTTTATTTTAGAGGTGTTTTTCTAAATTACATTTTGTGTACGGCAACCTCACTTTTTCATTACTTAGTCATAACATAAACTCTGACCAGTCTGACCAGCTCATCAAAACAATGATATTTACTGCTTTTTATAAAGAAATACAAGTAATATTATGCAGAATTGAACGAAGCATTTTGACCACATGGAAAAAAATAGTTTCTCACCCCTGCAATAGAGGATAGAGTTGTTTTTTAATTCTTATTCTATTACCCAAGGACACAACAGCAGTACATAATGCTCCATCTTTGTGCTTTTATGTAAACTTATAAAAGTAAACTTCTTATTTGTTTAGTCACTGCTGTGTATATTGCAATAACACACAAGAATCTTCATACAAAAATGCAATGTTGAAAAGAAAATGTTAAATACGGATGATTTTATTAATGATTTTCTTTAATAAATGGCCAATATTAGGCTATTTTCAGATCTATGTTTTAAAGGTTGTATGGAGGATTTTTTTTGTTTCAAATTGTCAATGATAGATTATAGAGATGCAGTAGCCTTGTAATTATGATGACCAAAAAAAAGAGAATAAAAATTCATCAACTCTGGACGTGGTGGGGCTAAACATCTGCCAATAGATAACGACACTGTCTCGTTATCTGTGAGCTGACAGGCTGTCAATCAAACTCCCTACGTTTCTAACGTAACTGACTTGCCTGCGCCGCCGGTACGTGGTTTACGTACGACTGTCACGCAGTCCACAGACGCAAGACGCTGTTTACTCCACCAACGCAACAGTTCTTAGCGGCTTTTTTTGACCTATATCTTCCTCGCAGTTCGCACAAAGTTTGTTGCAATGGCGACAAGAATCCAGGAGCAGTTCGCCCCAAAAGAAAGTCAGTTTTTGAGGTCGCTGAAAGAAGAAGACAAGGGGAAAAGCAGCGAAGCCAAACTAAGGTGATTCTTGAAGATTCATTCCAGCGATGGCGCAACTGAAGCAGACGCAGGGTCTAAAGACTGACGCACTGGTCCACAAATTACTCCTGGACAGGAAACTTCTGCTTATTATGAAAACGTACTTTATTTCCAAGAGCGAGACAAACGTTTTTCAGGACACAAAAGCGATATCCTATGTCTGAAAACGTCATTTTCAAGGCAAAGAAAGAGTCCGCTTGCTGCTGTGTGTTGTAGCTAGTTCATTCGCACTGAATCTCCACGCACTCTTCTCTGCACCCCTTTCCTGCTCCTCTCCCCGCTGCCCGATCCACTCTTCCCCCTGCTCCTCACTTCTCGTCCGCGCACGAAATGTCCGCGCACGGCTCCCCTCTCCTCTCTCCCTGCTCCTCACTTCTCCGTCTTGTCTAACCAACACTGTAGTTAGTTGTTTACAAGTCATGTGCACCGGCTGTAAACAAACCTGTTTCTGGCGTAAAGAGGAGGAGGGAGGAGGTGTTTCTACGTAGGAGCTGTAGGGGAGGGGGGGTGGTTTCACACATGCGCAACATTTGAAAAAGGACAAACAGTCGCTGGATTTCTCGTTCCTTGGAAAATCCTCTATACAACCTTTAATGTTTCCTCATCACAAACAGACCTGGAGTTGTGTTTTGTTTCATTCACAAATGTTTAACACAGAAAAAGAAAGTGTTCCACTGTGTTTTTAAATCCATATAGCTTCACTAGAATGGAAAATTTCAGCCCTAGAATTGCCAATCTCTGAACAAAAGTTAAAGTGCAGCTGTTAACTTTAAAACTGCAGTCGTGTCCCAAAATGTCCCAGTATGAAGCATTTGAAAAACGGGAGTCACCTCTATGAGATTCCTGATGGTGTCCCCCACGCTGGGCAGCCCCTCTGTGCTCCTCACACTCTCCACGCTCCAGGACAAACTCTTCAGCACGGACACCGCTCTCCTGAAGGACACACACGGACCCTCCATCTCAGACAGCTCGTAGTGCTCCACCAGGACCTCCAGGGCGTCCTACAGGAGCAGAGGGGGAAGAAGAAAGAGAGTGAGGATGGGAGAAAGAGAAGGACAGTGATAAGTGTTGATTTTTCACCATCCAAAAGAACAGGACAGGATATTTTGCTTTAAATTGTTAATTGCTATGACACTGGCTCTAGTTTTTCATCACTCTGAAACCCATGGATAGAAGAAAAATAACTCTGAGGAGGGACAAACATGAGGGATTTTAGTTCTGCGTCGACTCAAAGCACGCTGTCGACGTCGTTTTTGATTTATGGGTCTGCGTCGAGGTCTATGCGCCGCAAAGAAATTCACTGCCACAATGCTACGAGGGTAGGATTTAGAAACGGTGTTCGTCTTTACGCTAATGAAGCCGGAAAGTGGAACATCGGAAATGTGTGTAGAGCGGATGTAGAGAGGACCAATCACAGCCCTCGTTGTCTGAGTCGGTTCAACGTGTAGTTACAACATTTCGGAGGTCCACACAGACTCTCTACATCCTGCCACACACAATTTGATGCACTGAGGTGAGAGAAATCTGATTTTGTTCTAAACAATAGATGAACAATGAGCTATTCTGTCTGAATTAGTGACCAGACTGTGAGGAGAAATTTCAATTTGTCAACTGGACAAAAGTTAGTTTGGTTGAAGACGTTTCGCAGCTCATCCTAGCAGGGGAGTGCAAAAATATCGGAATATCGATATATTGTATCGTTTAATGTGATGCTACTGTATCGATATTTCACCAAGAGTATTTTTAGGTGTGTTTTACTAAATTATTTTGTTACAGAGCTACAGTTTTGTTGCTTGTGGAGTGAAAGGAAACTCATTTATGCGACACATTTGACATTTTTACTGTTTTGGTGATTAAAATGTTTGTGTTTCATATGAACTTTGCACAAGAAGTGATTTAACAAAGACTTTTAGTATCACAGCCACGATTTAGCCTTTATTTTTTATTGAACCGTATCGAATCTATTTGAAATATATCATATTGAATGGAAAGTGCGCTGTATCGAGATATGTATCGTATCGTGGCCTGTGTATCGAGGTATGTATCGTATCAGCAACTCCTTAATGATACCAGCCCTACATCCAAGCTGCATCCAAGTTCTTCTTCAGTCCAGAACTGAAGAAGCAGCTTGGATGAGCTGCGAAACTTCTTCACCCAAACTAACTTTTGTCCAGTCGACAAATTTAAATTTCTCCTCACAGTGGATTCTACCTGGACGAATGAGGGATTTTTCACACATTTAGTGACCAGACTGTAAATCCTATGTAAGAAGAATATAAAGACCATAGACTGTATAAAGAAGTGGGCTAAGGTTCAGTCCTTGTTCCGTCCTGGTTTAGTTCTTATTTAGTCCTGGTTCAGTCCTTGTTCCATTCTGGTTTAGTCCTGGGTTATTTACTTTTCCAGGTTTTGATCTAGTTTAGTCCTGACTTTGATCTCGTTTTGTCCTGTTTCAGTTCTTGTTTAGTCCTGGTTTTGCTGCACATGTCAAAAGGCAAGATCTCTAGAGTCTGTTGTCTTCAGGTGTAAAATGTCATCCTGCATTCACACTTACACACGACACATAAAAACTGGAACTAAACTGGGACCAAACCAGGACCTGAACAGCCCCGATCCAAGCCTACACCAGGACTAGACCTGGATCAGACCGGGACTAAACCAGGAGCAGTTTGTGACACAGTAGTTCTGATGTGACCAGAGAACAGAGGAGATTGGTCATGGTTTAGTTCTGGTTCATGTGTTGTAGTCTATGATTTATTTTCTGTAGGTGATGCTGAACGGTGTTAATGTTAATAACATGATTCTGCATCATTTTGAGTAAAAAAACGTCAAATATTACAGATTTTTACTGGGCTGGTGCCTTTATGTTTTTTAAGGTAGGTAGGCGGACAACGATGAACAACACCACCACTTAAAAAACTACACCACTAAAAATGAGGATGGACAAAGGACTGAACCAGGACTAAAAAGGAACGGAACCAGGACTAAACCAGAAATGAACAAGATGAACTAGAACTAAACAAGGAAATCGCAAACTCCCACTTGGAAAAACTCACTATAAGGACTGAACCAGAACTAAACCCAAGAACCAGGATGGAAAAGGAAACTGGAACAGGATGGAACAAGGACTGAACCAGAACTAAACCAAGGACTCAGAACTAAACCAGGATGGAACAAGGACTGAACCAGAACTAAACCAAGGACTGAACCAGAACTAAACAAGGACTGAACCAGAACTAAACCAGGATGGAACAAGGACTGAACCAGAACTAAACCAGGATGGAATAAGGACTGAACCAGAACTAAACCAGGATGGAACAAGGACTGAACCAGAACTAAACCAGGATGGAACAAGGACTGAACCAGAACTAAACCAGGATGGAACAAGGACTGAACCAGAACTAAACCAGGATGGAACAAGGACTGAACCAGGACTAAAAGGAACTGAACCAGGACTAAACCAGGATGGAACAAGGACTGAACAGAACTAAACAAGGAACAAACTGAACCTAAAACTGAACCAGAACTAAACCAGGATGGAACAAGGACTGAACCAGAACTAAACCAGGATGGAACAAGGACTGAAACAGGACTAAAAAGGAACTAAACCAGGACTAAACCAGAACTGAACTATGACTAAACAAGGAAATCGCAAACTCCCACTTAAAAAATCCCCACTACACCACTTGGAAAATATATGTGACACATTAAATGTTAAAAGCATTGAATTTCATCTTTAAATTATCATCATTTTGTTATTTAATTCATCCATTTTGAAGGTCATTTTTAGAATAATAACTGTATTTTCGTCCATTTCTTTTGCACGTTATGTTTTGGTCTCAGCCTCAAAACACATTCCGGTCCTGACTTTTAAGATTCCTTTAAGATTCCGTGCATAAAACAGTCGAGTGGTCCACAGACGGAGGGAGACGGGAGGCGGAGGAGCGGAGGAGTCGCACATGTACCAGGAGAACAGTGACTGTGGAGGCACTGACCTGTATTAAACCGGACAGGAGCCGAGTCCCCGGAGCCTCTGCCCCCCACTCGCCCAAAACCCATCACCGCCTGTCTCTGCTCACATCACAACCGCTGTGTCTCAAACTCAGCCCGGTCCAGTCCTGGGTCCTGGTCCGGGCTTGGATCGGTGCTGTTCAGGTCCTGGTTTGGTCCCAGAGCAGGTCGAGTTTTTATGTGTCGTGTGTAAGTGTGAATGCAGGGAGACATTTTACACCTGAAGACAAAAGCCTCTAGAGATCGACTCTGACATGTGCTACAAAACCAGGACTAAACAAGAACTCAACCAGGACTAAACCAGATCTGAACTAGGATTAAACAAGAACTGAACCAGGACTAAACCAGGATGGAACTAGGTCTAAACAAGAATTAAACCAGGACTGATCTAGGACTGAACCAGGACTAAACCAGGATGGAACTAGGTCTAAACAAGAATTAAACCAAGGACTGATCTAGGACTAAACCAGGATTTAAAAAAATGTACTAAACCAGAACTAAACTCAGACTGAACCAGGACAAAACAAGGACTGAACCAGGTCTAAATAGGAACTAAACCAGGACTAAACCAGATCTGAACTAGGATTAAACAAGAACTGAACCAGGACTAAACCAGGATGGAACTAGGTCTAAACAAGAATTAAACCAGGACTGATCTAGGACTGAACCAGGACTAAACCAGGATGGAACTAGGTCTAAACAAGAATTAAACCAGGACTGATCTAGGACTAAACCAGGATTTAAAAAAATGTACTAAACCAGAACTAAACTCAGACTGAACCAGGACAAAACAAGGACTGAACCAGGTCTAAACAAGGACTAAACCAGGTCTAAACAGACTGAACCAGGACTAAACAAGGACTGAACCAGGACCAAGGAAAAATAAAAGACTGAACCAGGACTAAACAGGACTGAAACCAGGACTGAAACTAAACAAGGACTGAACCAGGTCTAAACAAGGACTGAACCAGGACAAAACAAGGACTGAACCAGGACTAAACAAGGACTGAACCAGGTCTAAAACAAGGACTGAACCAGGTCTAAATAGGAACTAAACCAGGACTAAACCAGATCTGAACTAGGATTAAACAAGAACTGAACCAGGACTAAACCAGGATGGAACTAGGTCTAAACAAGAATTAAACCAGGACTGATCTAGGACTAAACCAGGATTTTAAAAAATGTACTAAACCAGAACTAAACTCAGACTGAACCAGGACAAAACAAGGACTGAACCAGGACTAAACAGGACTGAACCAGGTCTAAACAAGGACTGAACCAGGACAAAACAAGGACTGAACCAGGTCTAAACAAGAACTAAACCAGGACTAAACCAGATCTGAACTAGGATTAAACAAGAACTGAACCAGGACTAAACCAGGATGGAACTAGGTCTAAACAAGAATTAAACCAGGACTGATCTAGGACTAAACCAGGATTTAAAAAAATGTACTAAACCAGAACTAAACTCAGACTGAACCAGGAAAACAAGGACTGAACCAGGACTGAACAGGAAAACAAGGACTGAACCAGGTCTAAACAAGACTGAACCAGGTCTAAACAAGGACTGAACCAGGACAAAACAAGGACTGAACCAGGTCTAAACAAGGACTGAACCAGGTCTAAATAGGAACTAATCCAGGACTAAACCAGATCTGAACTAGGATTAAACAAGAACTGAACCAGGACTAAACCAGGATGGAACTAGGTCTAAACAAGAATTAAACCAGGACTGATCTAGGACTAAACCAGGATTAAACCAGACTAAACCAGACTGACTGACTCTAGGACTGAACCAGGACTAGGACTGAACCAGGACTAAACCAGGACTGAACCAGGACAAAACAAGGACTGAACCAGGTCTAAACAAGGACTGAACCAGGACTAAAAACTGAAAGGAACTGAACCAGGACTAAACCAGGATGGAACTAGGTCTAAACAAGAATTAAACCAGGACCGATCTAGGACTGAACCAGGACTAAACCAGGAC